GACAATATACCAACAGTTGAGCCCACCTTCTGTCCATAAAAATTTGCAATCATCTCCTTCATAATATTACACAAGGCAAATACTGGTACTAAGTAATTTCACACATTGCTGCAAATACTAAAGAGCACTGTAATGTTTACAAGAACATTCACTAAGGAAAGCCTAACCAATCACCGTCCCTTCTTTGGGCAACATGAGTGAGAATTTCTGAAGAGAATGACAGAGTCACCTACTTTTGAGAACCTTGGGGTAGCATCCAGGATCTGCCTTATGCTGTAATGACGTGAGGCGGCCAAATCGTGGATGGATTTTGAAGTCAAAATTTTCTGTTTGGAATTAAAGCTTGGTAGTGGAATTCAGTGGGGACAAGTTAAGAAAACAAAATGCCTTATGCTACTGTATGTACTGACCTAAAAAAAGTAACAACCGAAGTTAATCACAAAAAAAAAAGTAAAATTAGTATCAAATTCACAGGTATAAGTTTGGTTCTCAAAAACAAGAAAAAACGTTAATAGGTTATAAATGTGTCTTCCACTTCCTTGCTTCTAAATCCATACTTCTAGGCACCTGGCCTGGGGTGTCATCCTCTCCCTAAGATCTGGCTTACCCATCTCAAAGCCCATTTCCAGATCCTTCTGAATTCCCCTACAAATGCCTTTATAGGTAGGAAATGATGTCCTACACACCCTAAAATCTGAAATCTTCCCAGGGCAGTATACCTTTAGACTTCAAGCATTAGCCACACACATTTAAATTTGAGCTCTAATGCTGTTAAAGAGGTCCCACACCTCTTAAAAGATTGGGGACTAAATGAACCTAAGCCATCACCGACTCCCAATTCCTATTCATCCTTACAGTTCTACACATGGATCAGGATGTACCCATGACATACCAAGTCTTTTGTATGTAGCATAACTATTCTAAATACATTTTGAAGGAATGCAGGTAACATCTACAAAATGCTCTGTATCTTTAAAAATGGCAAGGGGAAATTGGAAGACAAAAGGCTGCCATGCAAGCTATATTCTATGCAACTCATCAAACTTACAGAACACTGGAACACAGCAAGGGACACAATGCGCATAATCATTACTGAACAAAATTTGATTCCTTGAAGGTAAAAATGTCCAACTTTGGGCATTATCAACTATTACAGTCTACACAGAAAAGATGGGGTTCAAAATTTAAAATGCTGAACAAGCTACTTCCAATCAATACATGTCTTAATAACAGCTAGTCACTTTTGAAGCAGTAAGACTACCAGTAAACTAACTCAGCATACAATGCCAAATCAAACGGTAGAACAAAACTATTTGAAAACTCTCTATATCTCACCTGGGGTAGAGTTGAGGGTATAGACACTGGAGGGAAGTACTGCATGGAAGGAGGAGGCATGAGGGGTTGAGACACCCCCTGTGCCCCACTGAAAGGTACACCTGGTGGCTGGATATACATCTGTTGAGGATTGTAACAATTATTTTATGTGCCCTTGTCACATATGGCAGTCAAACTGTTCATGGAAAGTAACAAGGTATGAGTATCTAAATGTTAAGACTGTAAGGACGACATTCACCGGCATGGGCATCTGTGGGTTGATGCATGATACACTTGTTGGCAAGCCCTGAATGTAATTATATCCCAGCTGGTATGGAATGCCAGTGAGGGCATATGGCACCGAGGAAGGTGGGGCTGCAACCGGATAGCCTGCAACACCAGGTAATGCACCTGCACCACCATTTCCATTCATCCCTACTGAAACCTGCAAGAATTGAAGAATTATGAAAACTGTAATCTAGAGAAAAATCTTTTCAGATACTAAAAACCTTGGTGTGTCATTAAAAACAGAGACATGTTCTGGAACATATTACAAGCAAACTTACTGGTGGATGCAACCCAGGTTGAGACTGTGCATCCATTGGAGGAATAGGTGGCTGTTGCTGTTGCTGGTTTGGTGGTGTAGGTGGATTTAGTGGTGGAGGTGGAGGAAGTGGGAGATTGTGTGGGGCGCCAGGATCTTCAAATGGGACATCTCCAGCATGTTGGCCACCTGAAGTCCTTGCTTGATGACGGGCTTGGTGTCTTGTCCGGGCCTCATAAAGTTCATACCAGCGCCGTGCCACAGAGAACAGGACCTCGGGGTATACACCACCACCTTTAGCTGCACCCTCAACAGCAAAGCAAGCACTTTCAAGCATTTCATCACTTTGCTCCTTACACTGAAAAGAAATTTAAAAAATTCCAATATCACTTCCTCTATTTCATTTACTGATGATTTCCATATAGAGAGCTTATTTACTTTTCACCATCAACACAGTTAAAATGTTTTTCTGCCTTAAGGTGATAAACATATTCCCATATTGCTCACCTGTATGATAGCCCTCTGAATCTCATTAGGGTTCAAAGCATGAGGCATGAAAGCTGACAGGAATTTTGTTGCAGCATCACGACCTCTTGATGCTCGGTCTGCTATTGATGCTGCTTCTTGTGGAGTTAGATGGCCCTCCCAAGTATCAATTAGAAAAGAAACTGCTGGTGATCCAATTTCCACTGCTTGGCCTGTGCAAATGTGAAAAATGGTGATCATTGCAATTAAAATCGTAAAACTAAACTTTACATATACATGTCAGTTTTCTTACTTGAAGCAACTATCAAACTAGAAAAAAAGAAATTCTTTTTACTTGTAATCCATGAAACATGTGAGGAATATGTTCTTGAAAGCCAGTTGGGGCTGACACAATTGTGAAGGCCAAGGGCATAGAGGCCAATTTGGAATGCACACATGTGGAGTGGTCGATGTGGCCCTCTGTGGTTCTGTGAACTGCTTGGCTGCAACAGAAAAAATAATAAGAGTTAGTTTTACATTAAAAATAATCTGAAATAAATATATATAAAAAAATGTCAGTGAAATCAATTAACAAAAAATCTCCAAAATAATGCAAGTTTATATCAGGCAAACAAACCTGACACAACTGTCTTGATAAAGAAGTAATTTTTTTTTCCTTTTTAATACTTCACACATGGAAATGGCCACTATCTTACCTGAGTAAACAGTGATGTGCTAATATTTCCTCCAGCTCTGTTCAGCACAGTCTTGGCCAACTCGAACATGAAATAAGCACTAGCCTCGGAGGGCTGGTTGGGCACGGTAGGATAAGCTCTCTTGCCTTTGAAACGCACACCTTTCCCATAGGTAGGCTGTGGCCTTGGATGGTTGTAGTTGTGCTTTCTGGGTTGGCTGGGGAACAGGTCGTACCAATGGGTAGCCGAGTGGTGGCGATTCCACAGGTTTATTTGCCTTAAGGAGGGGGGGGGGGAACACTAGTTATCAGTACAAGTTTATAATCTACAAATCTTTTAATCAAACAATGAAAACCATTTCCATATAAAAGAACAATAATGATGGTGAGGTTATTATGAATATTAGTAGTAATAAATAATAATAATAATAATAATAACAATAATAATGATGATGATAATAATCATGATTATAATTACAATAAAGATGATGATTATAAAAATAATACTGATTATAATGATAATGACAATAATTATGATCATAAAAATCTACCAAATGGAATCTCTTGTCTTGGTAACACATTTAACTATTAACCCATTGGAACCGGATGATGTTGCAGTCATGTCATGGAAAAACTTGTGTTGCGGAGCGGGCGATGTAAACATGCCGTTCACAAGCAAATTGGCATCGGCCTAGGTAAACAAGCTTGCCGTCATCAGAAAAGACCAGGGTGACAGAAAAGACTTGCACATGTACACAAATCTCTTGTAGTGTGATTTGACTCACTTGGCGCTTAGAAGGGGGCTTTAGCCTTATTCCCATGATAAATGAATGTGGAATGTAATGTGCATAAGCAGTACTGTAAGAGTGCCAGCTCCAGGGAGGACACCATTGCTATACTGGCACTGTATTCCTTGCTGCTATGACCAGCCACACAAGTTGATTATGTAAAATTGAAAATTACGAAAAACTAAGATATGACAAATAACCAAATGTTCCATCCCCCCCCCCCTTGCACTGAGTTATTTACTACATAGAGAAATGACATGGAGTCTGTGCAAGAAAAATAAGCTATTGCCATCTGGATAAAGCAAATGAAAATACATATATGGACATTGGAAAATGGTGATGAAGCTAAAAAAGGTTTACATAAAATAACTGCAAAGAAGAGGCATGGCATCTTGCCACTCACGGGGTGTTCGGGTGCACCAGGATGTCGGCCACTTACACAACCATTGCCTGCGTTTTCAGCACCGTGATTTCCATGACGCAACCGGATCCAATGGGTTAATATCATAGAGGATCACAAGACATTGTTCTTTCATCCTTATATAAATTATCACGTTAGCTTTATGGCTGGGTTCAACTACACAGCGTTTCTTATAATAGACAAATTTAAAAACCTAATGGAGAAAAGGCACCTACCTCAAGTCCACTGATTTTATCCCCACTTGATGAGGACACAATGCTGTCCGAGGAGTTTCCTGAAGAGCCAGAGTCTGAGCCTGGGCCTGTAGACTTGATCCATCCTGCACATCGACCAGAGGTGGGAGAGTTATCTGCCAAGTTAAGTTTCACTGAAACCCAAGGCGGAACATGAAAATACATCTAGTAAAAAGACATACTATTAATATAGATAAAATATTGTTCCCTAATCAAGACTACTTCAGAAAATTAAGATTGTCTTAAATTCTTTTTATAATACCAATACATAGTTTAACAATTTTAGCTTTAACTGTGGGGAAAAAAAATCTTTATATGGAAAACTGAGGAGTTAATAATTTACATTCATATATCCCTTAATATTTTGCTAGTGTTTTTCTATACATTAGGAGAAAGCTTTGCTCTCTTCCCCCCCCTATCCACATTCACACATGCATTCATCTCTCTTTTTGGCATCAATGAAAAATGAAGAAGAAAAAAACCTTTCAAGGTTTCAGAAAATAGCTATCATCATCACCTTCTACACCCGTTGAGGTAGTTTCTAAAGTACACGCTTGATTCCGTTTCTTGCGCTGTTTTCCAGCACATTTTTCCTCCCAGGCTTTATAGTCGTCCTCCCAGCTTGGGCTTTCCCCTTCCTCGCCCTCCACAAACCTAGCGGATGATGTCCCTTCCTTGGCTCTTGCTCCTCCTACAGGCTGGGATGGAGAGAGGCTAAGCCCAGCCATGGAACCCTCTATCTCTGCTCCACCTGTGCAAAAGACTTGAGTTCAGTCTCTAAATATTTTATCTTATATATTGATTGATATTCAATCCTATCAATCCTAACTCTTCTGTTTACAGGCAAGGAAATTTATAATATGGCTAACAGGTAGCCTTGTTGTTCCCATGAAATTAGAGAATATGTATATAAATATAGAATGCTTAATTAGCAATACCAATTACTGGTCTATATAATGCAGTTACTAACCTAAAATATCTTCACAAGTCTATCATTACATAATCTGACTGTTACTAAATATATTCCCCTGACAAACACATCACATACCAATCCAAATCACACAACAAACATAACTGAATGCAATACATGATTCAGAATTAAAAGACACGACTGAATTACAACCTTTACTTCATGTATTCTTTCTTTCTGATAACAAAATATAGCAAGACCAGATAATACCACTATATCTACATACTTATCTTTAATAAACAAGTTAATGAGTCTTAGAATTCTAGTTTTCCTTTATATTATAAAGAATATTTACTTCCAACATATAATTCAAAAAGTAATACTACAATCACCTGCATTATGCCTGTCTCTCTGTACTGTTGGTTGCTGTTGTTGTACAGGTGCAGGTGCTTGGTTGCTTGGGTGTGCTGATGGTGGGGTTCCTAGTATGGCTGGTGCTGCTGCAGCTACTGCTCCTGCTGCTACACCAGGCATAGGGCTGCTGCTGACTGCCCCTGCTGCTGGAGAATCTGCCACTCTAATGCTGCTGCTTGCCTCATTACTCTCAAGGCCACTAGTACTTGTTTGCTGGAATAATGGCACAATAAAGAAAATCAATCTAAAATTATTCTCTTATAAGATAATATTGCTTCCTTTTTCATTCTATCAAAATATTAGCAATATATTTTACCAGAATAAGCACAGCTGTTGCCCTGCCTACCTGATTGGGCACATTGTTCACATAGTATGTGGGCAGAGAAGGTGCTTTATACATCTGGTGCACCTCTTTGTCTAGCAGCTTGTCCATGATACGAGCTAGTCTGTCCTGGTCATCCTTATAGTGTGTCAGCAATGTGAGAGCCAACTCTCCTCTCTGAAAAAGTTCACAATATCATTAGATAATTGATAGTCATTGCCAATAAATATCAAGTGATATCCAGTAAATTATTTTCACATGTACTAATATTATGTAGACATACTATTGTCTGCAAATATATTTTTTTACCTGTCTTCTTGTGGCCTCACAGAGGAGTGGGTGATCTGCTTCACACACATTTGCTTTCATGCCAATGGCTGCCACAGCTGCATCAAAGCCTAGAGCTTCATCTTGTGGCTGACGGTAACTTTGACCTCCAACTGTACTTTTGTTATTTCCTGTTATGAAATTAATGCAAAATAATCAAAATCATATAAACTGTTTTTGTTCCAGCATCATGTTTTTACAAGGTGATACGTCTTTGAGTGAACACATCTATATAATAAAAAGTACATACAAGCACTCTTACCAGTAATGACTAGAGCATCAAAAAGGAAGGAAGCAAGCATTAATGGCAGGAGAGCTTCGCCACGAGACTTGAGAGTGCCTGATCGCATTTTCTCAGCCTTATCTCTGATTACAGCTAATTCTAGTGGACCGAGAAGCAAGCGCTTCAGGAGGAAAACCAAGTCACTTTCTTGGTTGGCTAGCTTCACTTCCAGTGGCTGCAGGAGAGAAAGAGAGAGAAAAATAACATATATTGACTCAAAAACAAGAGATATCTATTAGTAAATTTTAAAAAAATAGTTATGGTAATAATAATTAAGAACAGCAAAATAATCAACAAAACATAAAAACCTATTAACAGTATGTTAACCTTAAAGATATTAATATCTTTAAACTGTTTAAATACTAAAGGTTTACCTTAGTGGATGCTGGAGGTCGTGCCATTTCTAAACCGAACATGGCAACTTGGAAAGCCAGGTGTGTGTGGTCAGGGTTTTCTGCCAGGACAGTGCAGAGGAAGGCACATTTACTCAAGGTGGCTGAAGCTAGACAAGTCAGATGGTGTGATGCTGGGTTTACCTTCTTACGCTTCCCTTTGCTGGGTGGTGGTGGTAGCTCAATCATGAGGTTTGGAGGGTTAGCCAGCAGCTCGTGTGCTAGTTGTACTGCCAGTCCAGAGGCTTCTTGTAAATGTCCATGAGCATGCAGACCCTCAGCACGAGCAAATAGTATCTCAAGGGGATCTTCAAACTTTTTCAGGTTATTGAAAATTTCTGCTCCTCTTTCAGCCCCACTACAATCACTTACACTATTTCCATCCCCAACTAAATTGGCATTATACACATATACATCATATTCATCTGCTCCATTCTGGTCTCTGGAACGCTGCCCTCTACTCCCTGCCCTACTTCTCTGGTTTCTGGATGGTTCTGCTCCACCAGACCAGTCAGACTCTGCTCCACCATCATCAGGAGATGACTTATCCCTATCATCTCTTGAACGATCAAAGGCTGCCGCCAGACCTAGAGCTCCCATGGGACGATCCTCTCTTGAGCTCTGGCGGGACACCTGGCCTGAGTCAACCTGTTCAGGTGACCTTTGATCTGGTGGAGAGTCACTGTCACGGCCTAGGTCATTGTCACAAAAGCCTTCACTACTAACACTACTGCTCCGATGACCACTGTGTCTATGACCTGCCAAAGAGACACCAGCACCCAAATTCTCTTTGTCACCTGCATTTCCAGAGCTGATAAGCACACGCCGCTCTGAAGGCCGTTTTGGCCCAGCATGTGATGTAGGGTTTCTTGGGTGTGGTGCAGAGATGGGTGCTGCTTGTGACTCGTGTCGAGAATCATGCCTAAACCGCATGACAGGACAATAATATCGAGAAGCTGTGTGAGAATATGTTACTCCAGGAAGAGGGTAATCATTCCAGTCAAGGTAACAAGGCTCTATTGCTGGCTTGAACCCTGGGAACACATCAACATCAGTACCTCTCTTGTTGCTTCCGCTTCCACCATTTGTACCTGTTTCTGTTAATGAAAAAGAAAGGAATTAGAATTGATAAGTCCTGAAATTTAAAAAACTTATCTTTAACTTTTGTCCTACAACACTGGTCATTAATAAAATAACAAAGAAAGAAAAAATGCTTCTACTTTACCTTTGCTCTTGGCAACCTTCTCTAAAACCTTGAGATGCCAGCCTTTGAACTTGGCAATAAGCTGCTCTCGCTCCTGAGGTGACAAAGCTGGGTTAAGTGCTGCCAGACGCCAGAGAACAACAATTTCATCACAGAGAGATGAACACGCATACTGGCTTCCATGGCTGTTAGAATTCATGTTGTTCTTACCACCATGCCCAGAACTCCCCATGTGCAGGGCAACCTTTGTATTTACCCACCAAACCAAAATCTGAGAAAGAAACAATAAGAATTAAAGCCTGAGAAATCAATAAGGCTAATTTCTAAACTATCAACTGATATGTATAGGGAAAATCAATTCATGAAAAACTACATATCTCCCTATTATCCTTACAATTAGCTTTTTCCTATTATGACCTTCAATTTCCAAATTCATAATCATGTAAGTATAAATCAATAAGTCTAGAGATACCTTTTCTGTAGCCAGGCATTCCTCTGTGATGATCTCCAAAAGGGGAATGGCATTGCGATCATTTCTCTTAAACATCTCCCTCACTATGGAGAGAAGGTTCCACATGCCTTCGGGTTCCCTTCCCCTTAGAGGTCTCAACAAAGATGACCATTCTGCAGCTACAGGTGGGGCCGTTGAACTCAAGTAGTTAACGTCACTGTTGAATGTGTCAAGGTCAGTCCATAGAGCCTCATTTCATAAGAAGGATCACCTGTCTTTTATATATGTATACTGGATCCTTTTCGGCTAATATAATCACCTGTTTTATCTATATCTATATATCTATATCTATATCTATATCTATATCTATATTATATCTATATATATATATATATATATATATATATATATATATATATATATATATATACTGGGTCCTTTTCAGTTAATATAATAATGTAAATGAACTTTGTAAATAATTTATGTCATGAAATGCAAGTAGATTTGTCTTGTGAAAAGTATCATATAGAAATCGATTCATCTAGTTCTGAACTACTGAACTTTCTATATACAAGTTATTACAGTGCAAAATGTTGTGCAAGTACAGATGCTACATCTTATTTCAAGAACATACCCAAAAATCATTGTTGGGGAAAAAAAAGAAAAGAAAACCATACCTAAAAACAATGGGAGATGGCACACAAAATTTGACCAGGATCTTGTGAATATTCTCGTGAAGGTTGCTCTCATCTAGCCACCAGGCCATTTGCTCGTTGGCCGATCCACCAGCAGTTGGGTCTGGTGCTCCTGAAACCTATTGACAACATGAAATTATCAATTCTATACATTAATTTTTCTTTTTAGTTTCCTTATAACAAACAAAAATAAAATAAAATAAAATAAATAAATAAATAAAAAGAAAGAAAAAGCCTTTAGGTAACAGTGGTATAATTATCATTAAAATTACATACCATAAAGTTTACATAAAGATAATTCATGTAGTCAGGCCTATGTGTCTTTAACCCATTAACGGCAGGGCTGCCCCGGACTCTGCCCGCCCGTTGGCCACGGCCCGCTGCTGTGTCGGAGCGAGAGCCCCGATACAGCGTCACACTGGCAGGATGCCCGGCAATGTTTATTTTTTCAGGTGTCTCATATGTGGGACACCCGTCATTATTGGGTTAATGTGCCACATGCTATGCCATATATTGGCTTCCTTTGAATGAGAAAATGTATAAATATACTTCAATTTCTTCTGCCTTCAATAATTGAACAATGTCTAAGGAATTATATTTTTTCTATATATATCCATACTTTCCCCATATACTTTACCTTTAAAGCTCTGTTTTATTCTATCTATTTCACTTTTGGAGAATAGTAAAACCCATTCTAAAAAGTGGAAAGAATGAGAGAAAAGAGCATGTATTCAACAAATCTTTAAACAAAAAGGCAACACTTTGAGAAAACCCTTCTTACTACTTACTGTATTAATATCAGATGTTTGACTAGAGAGGATTTCATCAATGAGCCGCTGTGCTGTTGGCAGGATCTGTTGTGGCAGTTCGCTGATGAGGTACTGAGCAAATTTCTGTAACTGATCTCTCTGTAGCCGTGATAAGGACTCACTCACGGGAGCACGAAGTTTCACCTGGTTGGGCTGGAAGAGGGATAAAAGCGATATCGGATGAAGAACACAAAAAGGTAAAATATTCGGATCATGGAATAAAAAGGCCTTTCTTCAGAATGTGCTTCACTACTAGCTTTTGTCTTAACTTATCATTTTCATACCTTTATATTTGAGAAACAGAAGTCAAGAAGCAAAGGGAACCAAATAAAATCAAAAGGTAAAAGGCAAAAGAAGAAACAAAGTTGAGGAATAAATATAAAGGTAAAGGAACCCTTTGACCTTCCAGATATTGAGATTATAGCTTTTCTTTGAACCTTTTCAGCTCTTCACTTACCTGGTGGATACGGTGGAGGCAGACGGCAACTACGTGTGAACACCAGGAGGCATTGGCAGAGCATGTACAATTACATGTTGTGATCCTACCCCTGTCAAATGTTACTGCTACATTGAACTGTCCCTTTGTCCCAGAAGCTGATGGTGCTACAGTAGCACTCAGATGGAATCCTGAGAGGAAAAGTATAATTACTGATTTATAGATACCTTGTGAATGATGTCTCTTAAATAGAATACTGTATTCATTACAATAAGAAGACTGCTGGCATGACCAGAATTAAACCTGGCATAACATAAGACACTCTATATACAATAAAAGTTAATTAGAAGAAACAATCGTTTGCAAATCCTGTTGCCTCAGGTGAAATATGAATGAGACACAACAGTAAAATAAGACATCTACAAAATGTAAAACTGCTGGCATGACCAGAATTAAACCTGGCATAACATAAGACACTCTATATACAATAAAAGTTAATTAGAAGAAACAATCGTTTGCAAATCCTGTTGCCTCAGGTGAAATATGAATGGAAGGAATCAACTCCTGAATAGAAATAGAACATATTGGTATAAGGCCTCAGAAGTATCAATAATGAGACATCATAAAGTAAAATGTATGAGATAATACATAAATTTTAGTTAAATCTACACACTACACCAATATACTTAGAAATTAAAATGATAAATAAACCTATGGAAAAGCTGGGGGGAACAGCACAATGGAAGTAAAATGTAGGACTGAATGTAAATTACATATTAATATCTGTTGTCTGTGACCATCACACCATGAAAACATTTGGCATGAGGGACGGGTAACATGAAATTTTGGGTGAGGGCCGGTGTGATGGGAATTTCCTGCCATGAGAATTTTGGCTGAAGGCCTAGGCGAAAGGAATGACTTGCCATGAAGCTTGTTACTATCTATCAATAATTATACAAGGAATCCATTTTATAATTTTTTTAAACAAAGAACTTCACCAAATGGACTTAGCATCCTACATTGTATGAACAATAAATATCTAAAGAAATATACAATTTCTCTCAAAGAAATTGCAAGAGAGCTCACCAATCTGCAACGGATCATGAACGCTCTTGTGTTTGTAGTGGTTTTCCCCTCGGAGAAATTCGTCGGCATTGCCATTGGCCAGGCAGCTGTAGAGCCTAATGTCCTCCTCATTTTCTGGGAAGCTCCAAAATGCAATAAGAAGTTGTAGCTGCTCTGGCACAGGAGGCATCATCTGTTCGACCACTTCAAAAGGGATGTGTGCCGCCACTGTGCGGGCACACATCTCTGTGAGAGAATGTACTCTGCCATCTGTAAAGGGACACATACTTTGTTAAACATGCCTGACAATGAAGAAAGGGGTGGGGGGCAGGATCAATTTTACCTTTTTAATAAACAGGAGTGAAAGGTAACAAATCTTGTTAAATTAAGGTAAATTCAACTAATTCTAAAAGCATTAAACTGATAATATGAATTTTTTGTGTGCATGTGTGTGCACATGCATGCGGTGTAGCATGGTGTATGAGGTGTACCATATATTTTGTGTGTGTGTGTGTGTGTGTGTGTGTGTGTGTGTGTGTGTGTGTGTGTGTGTGTGTGTGTGTGTGTGTGTGTGTGTGTGTGTGTGTGTGTGTGTGTGTGTGTGTGTGTGTGTATGTGTATGTATGTGTATGTATGTGTATGTGTGTGTATGTGTATGTATGTGTATGTATGTGTATGTGTATGTGTATGTGTATGTGTGTGTGTGTGTGTGTGTGTGTGTGTGTGTGTGTGTGTGTGTGTGTGTGTGTGTGTGTGTGTGTGTGTGTGTGTGTGTGTGTGTGTGTGTGTGTGTGATACTAAAGTAGAACACATGGGAAAAAGAACAGAGAAACAGAAATAAACAAAGAAGGAAATAAAGAAAAGGAAAATGACATACTTCAATCAACATCACTATTAAGAGGAAGCAACATGAGAGCTGGTTTCCACAAAGAATCTAATGATCCCTAACTAGCCTCATCATCTCCCACCCCTTATGAACCACCAAAATAAGTCAGCTGTTGGGTCTCCCCCTCCTCCTTGTCTTCCCACCTAAAGCAAAATGACTCCTAATACCCTCTTCCACAAGTCTCAAAGCAGTTTCCCCCACAGCCCACCAGGGGTAATAAGGGGGCTGCCTAGGACATAAAGCAGCTCGGTGCAAGAAGGGCATCTACCCTATCAACCTCTAAATGCAGCTAAGGGCCCTCTTGCCCTGGGCTCCGTGAGACAAAGGTTTCAAACAGAGATCAGGCCAAGAACCTTGTGAACTTATAAATGGTAAACCCTATTCTGGATTCTACTGAAGAAATGATGTCAAGGTGTTCATGTATATTAATCTTTGGTCTTACAAAGAGAAATAGGAGACAGTGAAGGAGAATATAAAGAGGAAGAAGAGTTTATAGGCCTAAAATCACTGCTAATGAAACTTAATATGATGGAAGTTTAATGGATGCTAAGTGATCTTTGTGATAATATATAGAACAAAGAGACTTTGTCTAATTCTCTTTCTTTCTCTCTCTCACTCATAAACTACTCTCTTTCTCATGCTTGGAATCAGCTCTCTCCCCCACACTCGCAGCCAAGCTCTCTCCCCCACACTTGCAATCTGCTCTCTCCCCCACACTTGCAATCTGCTCTCCCCCCCACTCGCAGCCAAGCTCTCTCCCCACACTCGCAGCCAAGCTCTCTCCCACACTCGCAGCCAAGCTCTCTCCCCCACACTCGCAGCCAAGCTCTCTCCCCCACACTCGCAGCCAAGCTCTCTCCCCCACACTCGCAGCCAAGCGCTCTCTCCCCACACTCGCAGCCAAGCTCTCCCCCACACTCGCAGCTCTCTCCCGCAGCAAGCACACTCGCAGCCAAGCTCTCTCCCCCACACTCGCAGCCAAGCTCTCTCCCCCACAATCGCAGCCAAGCTCTCCCCACAATCGCAGCCAAGCTCTCTCCCCCACAATCGCAATCTGCTCTCTCCCCAACACTCGCAATCTGCTCTCTCGCCCACACTTGCAATCTGCTCTCTCCCGCGCTCTCTGCCCACACTTGCAATCTGCTCTCTCCCGCACTTGCAATCAGCTCCAACCCCACACTTGCAATCAGCTCCAACCCCCACACTTGCAATCAGCTCTAACCCCCACACTTGCAATCAGCTCTCTCCCCCACACTTGCAATCAGCTCTCTCCCCCACACTTGCAATCAGCTCTCTCCCCACACTTGCACAGCTCTCTCCCCCACACTTGCAATCTTTTGCAATCAGCTCTAACCCCACACTCGCATAACATACTAGTGGGCTCATGTTTCAGACTTTACCATCTGATGCAAGAGCCCAATACCATCATTGATTTTGTTATCTCATCTTACAAATCCATAACAAACCTTAACAGATCGGTATGGGAGTGCTAGACAGGGTAAAACAAGAGCATAGAACTCTTTAATATATAAGTATATATAACATATAAGCACAGGAAGAAATTATACAAAATATGCCATGTATTTTCCCCATTTCAGTTCTCTATAAGTTTGCTGTCCGAAAGTCTAAATGTTCAAAAAGAGGAGCACAAATGGTAATAAAGTTACCAGAGAAACTACTGCTCATCCCACATCTCTGTCCATTCTGCTAATTAATGACTTGTAGTTCATAAACTAACAAGTAAAATATTTTTCAACAAAATAACATTTTTGTTCACCAACTTCTTTCACTCAAGCCTTGCTGCCAAGCAATAACTGGTCTGTGCAAGAAATTGTTAAATGGCAACTTGACGGGGTGACTTATTTTCTACAGGCTGTGCAATTACCCAACATTGATGGCTGGCATCTATTGTTACCATAACAAGCCAAGCCCAAAAGCCAGGTGACAGAGTGATGTGTCATGTATGGTCAGCCTGTGATAATTGTCTAGTTTAAACATCTGCTCTATTGTTTAGCTCTGGGCATAGTTGCTCAGGAGCTACATCCCTTTAAAAGTGGGGTAAAAGCCTTGCATTAGCTTTAATTACTGAGGAATCTTGTATACCACTGCCAAACACACACAGGGTGGGTAAATATATCTCTACCATGCTTCTAATTTTTCGCACAAGGAGGAAAAACCCATCTAAGTTGAGTTAAAATATAATGGAGTATTGAAGGAAACTTAATTGTTGGGGCAGCAAAAGGTGAAAGCCATAGTGTATGTGTTAAATACCTTAATAAGACCCTAAATGACCAATACAAGCTTAAAAGTTAAATGAAAAGGGAATAAGACAGTTAAACAAGTGATG